TCCATGTTGTTCTGGTCTGATGAGTCCCCTAGTCTACATCTACCTCCATATCTTCTGCTTGATCTTGATTGCCTTGATTTGCTGGCCTAAACATAGTGTTTAGGTACACCACAGCCTCCATCACAACTTCCTTCTTCACCTCAACTTGATCTGGCAGAATGCCAAGATTTTCAAGTTTCTTTTTGTTCATGTGGGGTATTTTGTACTTGTTCCCACCTTGTGCCTTGAGAATTTTATCATACATCTTTGCAAAGTCACCCATATGTACTTGTTGACTTTAGGGTTGAATGTTTCATAAGACTCAATGACTTTCTCAACTAGCTCATCTAGGTTGCTAGGAAAAGATTGATATTGCAAAGACTGAATTGACCTAAACAAGCCTAAATCCAACACATTCAAATCAGGTGATTGTCCTAGTTGGAATACAATTTGAATGTTGAACCCATTTGTTGTTGTTGCTGTAATGAATTCTTCATATCTGGGAACTTGGTGAGGCCTTGCATTGTCCCATTGAATGACCACATTTTTGGGAAGACTTTCAGGCCATTTAGACACAATTGCTGGTATGACCTTTGTCAGTAACATCTCCCTAATCACCTCTTTGTTGACATTCTGGAATTCCTTTGTTTCCCATGTGCTTGCTGCTCTGTTTTTGCTTGACTTCTTAGCTTTCTCTTTGATAGTGAATGGGAATATGCCATACTTCCCATCATGGAGTAGTTCCCCATTTGTGTCATACAATGGCTTCCCAATGATTGCTATGAACATTGCTTTTAGCTTGAATCTTCTTGACTGTTATGCCCTGTAAGGATCTTCCTCTTTAGGAAAGAGATAAAATCTCCTCTTATTAGGATTGAGATAGAACCATTTCTCATCTATGTGTATGACATGGTTCATGTCAACAAAAGTGGGGTCCTCATTTTGAAAGGATTGGTGTCCTTCCAACAAGTGTATTATTCCAATAGAGGGTTCGGAATTATCCAAAAGCTAATTCTTCAGTGAGGTCAAGTGATCGGAATGCCTAGGTAGAGGCCACTTCCGATCAATAATATTAATGCATAATTAATATTACGGTTTAATCTTGACATAACCCTTTGGGTTACACCCCAATCGAATAACCGATCTGAATCGACGAATCAATCTGAATGATTAGATGTGTCATTAGAGTATTACGAACAAAGACGTCGGATATCGAGCTTAGAGCGTCAAGACCGAGCGTCGCAAGTCGAGTTGAATTAGAATTCGACGAGACGTGAAATCAAGCAAGCGACAAGTTTGAGCCTAGCCGTAGCCTCGCATTGGCCTATCCATGCGAGTGCTAGGCTAGGCGAGGTCACCAACCCATGCGTATCATGGGTGCCTAGCATCCCCTAGCACCGCACATCACATGGCACAAGCATCGCAAGATGCGTGCATGCGTGTGTGTGGTGTGGCTGTGCATGGCTGGGCGTGCTAGCATAGCAGCGCCAGCCATCGCATCATGCTAGGCCAAGCACCAAGCCCCTCGCTAGCCCGCAAGCATCGCAAGGCCAGCAGCACGCAAGTGCTTGCTGGGCCTTGCTATCGCAGGCATGGTGCCTTGCGTGCTTACTAGCATGCTAGGGCCTAGCACCCAGCACTTCGTAGCCTCGCACCAAGCTATGCACTCGCACAGCACACGCATCGCAGCAGCGTGCTGTGTGTGCGTGTGTGTAGCTTAGCGTGCTTGCTAGCGAGCAACACCAAGCCCACACCACTCGCCTAGCAAGCAGCACCAAGCAGCATCACGCAATAGCATCGCAGCAATGCCTGCGTTGGCTGGCTGTGTGGCTGCGCATGTGCGTGAGCAGCCTGGCCAGTAGCCCAGCCTTGGTGCTAGGCGCCAGCTGGCAGCCTTGGCAGCCAAGGCAGGCTTCTAGCTAGCCAAGTGGCGAGGTGGTCCGGGTTTTGTGTGGGGACAATGGTTGGTTCTTGGCTTAGGGAGCAAGGTGAGTTGGTCCCCCTTTGGTGGTCCTCACCTACTCTTTCTCCCTCCTTGTGCCACTTGTAGCTTGTTGATTGAATTGCATTTTATTTTGTTTTTGATTAAAATAAAATAGAGGAAAATGAAAATCTCCCACATTGATTGGAGAATGGAGATCAAGTCTCCATTCCCTATAAATACCCAAGTTGTGGGTTTTGGGAAGAACATTTGAGTGGAACTAAAAAGGCATCTCCTTAGTAAAGTGAGAAAACCTTAAGTTCGTAATACTCTAGTTTTTATTGGTCAAGTCCCGACTAACCTTCGGGACTAAGACCGTTCGGGTCGGGTCGAGGGTGCTAGCCGTAGGAGGCCGTCGCACTTGCGAGGCTCGAGCTTTGAAGTAAGAGCTCGTGAATCGAGCGAAGCACGCGTCAAGGGTAAGAATGTCTTTTCTCTTTCTCTCTCTTATGTTGTTAATTATGTGATTAAATATTTAGTTGCTTTAATTAGTGATCGGGTCTTGGGCAGGTTTCTCTTATGCGTAGCGTAAGTCGCTACAAAACCCAACACATTTGCTGTCAGTGGGTTTATATGTGACAAAACCCATTTCATTCTAGCTACCTTGTGGTCTGATGTTAGTGTTGGCTTGTTACTGCTTGTGTGTGTTCTCAGCCTTCCCTTTTTCTTCAAATTATGAAGAGTGACATGAGAAATCTTCAAGGCAGCTGCATAACTTCTTTCTGTCTGCCTTAGATGCAGAGGGACTGACTGTAGGAATTCATCTGAAAATTCCCTTGGCTTTGCACTTGTTCTGCCATACTTTTTAGTCTTGACATCAATCAAATTCCCCTATGTCATCTGTTTTTTAATGTTAGTAAATATTCTTGTGATTGTTGATTTGTGAACATTGAATCAAATTCCTATCATTACTTGTGATCGAGAAATTTTAAAATAACTTTAATAAGAATAATGTTTAATATCAATGAATAAAAATGTTAGTGAAAAGTACAACAAAGATTGTAGGCCCGTTAGCACTCGGGCTAGCCCGCCCTGTTTATCAGGGTGAGGTGGACAAGGTGTTAAGCCCGCATAAAAGAGCTTGTTTTTGCTTCATTAATTCAATTCGACAAAAATTTTAGTTCGGGCTCAGCTCGTTTCCGCATAATCCCGTAAACGATCACCTCTATTTCATTTACGAGTATTTTGCTATAATTAGTATTTTTCAATTAATCAAGTTTGATTTGAAAAATAAATCTATTAATAGGAAGTTTCTTGTTTATAAGTTTCCTTTCAAAGATGTGTCTATATCGTAATTTGTGTATATGGGGAGTTAGTGTTGTCAAGTGATTTCTATGATTGTTGCTAATGATGGCATGGAGTGCTCGAGAGTTTAGAGTAACTTGTAAAGTATTAATAATATTATGTTTTTTTTATAAAGACTAATGATTATTTGTTTAAGTTTCTAATGAGTGAGGCCTGAAATGGTTCTAAGTTATAGATAATTTTATTTCAATTTTAAACAGGTATTAAAGTACTCCTTTTATAATTATTTTAAGTGAAACATTATGACTAATTGCACTATTCACCTGATTCGTTTTGACTAATATTACTGATTTGTACATGAGAAAAAATATATATTGTCTTATGGGTACTTGTTAAAATCATCTCAATGAATAGATTATTAATATTCAGTTGCTAAAATTTTTATTTATTGAGAATTTAAAATATTATTAGTCAAAGTATTACATTAGTATACGTGCACAAGAGTAACACTTCACTAAAAATACGAAGAGTGTATTTTGTTTAAACTAAAATATTCCGCTATAGTACTTTAATAATTTCCTTAAGAATTATAGTAATTTAATATGAGTTATATGACAGTAATTACCTTATAATTCTCTATACGATACAGTGTGCCAAACTAAGTATTTTAGAAAGTAAAGATTTATGGGGTTTTACAAGAACTCAACAATATGTAACTAGTAGATTAAGCAGCCGTAACAGAGAATGGTTGAACTCCCCATCAAGATAGTTTTACCCCAACGGAGCCTAGTTTCAAACGTTGATAAACGTTTCTTGTTTATCAAATGACATTATTGTAATCAAATTGCCTAGATTTTCATGCGTGCTTAATTTAAAATTATACTTCGTATATCAACAGTTTTGCCAGTTGTGTTTCACGAAGACAAGTTAATGTCCATTTATTGCTACTATTCATCATCTTCTTCATCCTCTTTCCTCCTCTTACCCACCTTCAGCTTCTTCATCCTCCTTCCTCCTACCCACTTTCATCTTATTCTTCCTCCTATCTCTACCCAACTTCATCTTCTTTAAGCAGTTTCAATTTTGCCAACACCAATACCATCACCCATCAGCACCATTTTCGACAGGTTCGCCACCGAAATTAAACAAAAACCCGAAGATTGATTGGAGAAATAAATAGCAATGTATACCCCAAAAAGTAGGTGAGCTTTCCCTTTTCCACTGATTTCAATGATCACTGTTTTGCTTTGTTTAGCCATTAAATTGGAAGGTTGAAGGAGTAGAGAGAAAGTAAGGTGAAAATGGTTGGAGGGGAGAGAGAGTAAAAGTTAACGGCAAACTAATAACGCCAGTTAAATAAGCTATATGTCAATTGCATAAATACTCCTTGATAAACAATTTTTGTTTTGTAAAAAAAAAATAAATAAATAAATATTGTTTATCAATGGTATAAACATTGGATTTTCTCGTTTACCCCAACCATCTACCCAAAAAGTAATTCCATCCTCGCAATATTGAGTAGTGGCAAGAGTGGCATCAATGGAATCTTTTTTCTAAGGGGATGTTTAGAGTGGGGCTTGTCCAAATGTTTAGATTATCCCATTCTTGTGTCTCCGACACCTTTTATATACAAAAATACACTAGGAGCACCTTACACCCGGGTGTATATAATTTTTTTTTTTTTCTTTTCATTGTGCTACAGTTGCTTCTGAGTTGCCAATAAGGCAATAGTAGTACCTGTGAAAAATAGCGTACTCCCTGTGTCAATTGATATAATCCTATTACTCCGTAAAAGTTATCAGAAAATTTATTAGATGAAATTTACTACGAAGTATTATACTTCGGTGGCCCATAACCAGCTACGGTTTATCACAGCTCAACCACAAACATCTGACAAAGAACTCTAATCAAGATACAGAAAATGAGACTTTCAATTCAACATTGCAATAGATTCAAGACAATAAAATTTGAATTTGGCAATGGTATGAGTACAAAATAAAGACACCATATGAACACAAGACGACGCACTTCCAAGCAAAAGCCAATGCTCATTTTCCCAACTTTCTATTTTCATCCACAGTTGAAATACCTGCTAAGAATGTAATGGAGCACTAGTGTTCAATTGTTCAAATAATTCTGAAGAAACAATAATACTGCCCCAAAGAAATCTTTCTAACTAACCAATCACTTTCTAATTTCCATCATTAACCTCTCTGGATGACGCCATTCTCATACAAATATTCAACAAATTCATCGATAAGATATGGCCAAGCACCCTCAGCGTCATAATTTGATAATTGTGGATCTACTACCTGCAACACAAGTAAGAAGATAACCACGTTTATCAAAACTAAGTCTTCAGCAAAGGAAGCACCCAATAGAAAGGTTCTACTCTATGAACATCATGCAGGTCATGTAATGTAAGCAACACTGATTATATTGTAAATTCCACCAAACATGACTCCTAGTAAGACTCATAAACTGGACATCTGTTAGAGAAATCAGCTTGAACATAAAAGCCAGGTTCTATAACTACATCAGCTTGATAGACACACAGTAAAACAGGAGATGCAGATAGCACAACTTCAAAAATATGAACACCACAACAATTTACCAGAAAATTTGATCCAAGAAAATGCAGCGGCACAATCAAAGATAATCTCATCAAAATCAGAGGAAAAAATTGCAAAACAAAGGTTATATCTTACTCTTACAAACTCCAGCAGTTGAGCCCAGGTGTCTCTCGAAATTGCCTTGTTATGCCGGGCCTAGAATCAAAGACAGAATCAGACATAATGTACGCAATTGGAGTATATTCTTCAATTTATGAATAACTAGCACTGTGCTTTTTTTGGTCAGGAAAAATAGTCCAATAATTCAGAATTTAGCTCTACAATTCAACAACTAATAGAGATACCCATTGCAAGGTCAATAAAGCCTGACCAGCAAATTCAAACTCGGAGACATCATTTACACAAGTATCGAGATACTTCAGAGTGCAAACATAAATGTTTAGATCCTAAATAGCTTTCCCAGTTTCCTACTTCACAACCCTAGATTCAAAACAATTCTCAGAAGGTGAAGCACATACCCATCGCACTAGGCTATCAAGAAGTTTTGCTAGTAACTACACTCAGTCCACAAGGTTGACTTCAGAGACATTCATACAGAAAAGATAGTTGCAGGTCACTTACAGGACTATATTGATGTCAGAAGTAAAAAGCATTTCACCAGAAATAACTTGTACCGCATCATTAACATCAACATTCCTCCAATGAGTAAAAACTTAATTTCAATTAACCCTCGATCCAATATACAACAAGCCAATAAAGATTTGCTACATCACCATACATGTGAAATACAAGAAATCCAATGAGCCTATTTAATTTAGTGTATCGTAATCCAAAAACCATAAGAATGAGGAGTCTTTGACTCATAAGAGACAGACTATAAACGAGCATAGTTATACAACATACAGACATAATCAGAGAAATGTCAAGAATAAACAATTGAGAGCCTTACAAACTAAAAGGATCTTACAATTGAGATTCAGGAGCAGAAACTCTAGGTGATCAAGTCTAAACGCTACTGAACCAAATTAACATTGAATGGTAAAATGAACAAAGGAGTTTGCATATATCAATCTCTTCTTTCCACATAAATTACCTGCAAAAACTCACACCAGTGATCAATTAAAGGCCAATGTTTCTCAGCAAATAGTAGTTGCCACATCCCAATTGCTGTATCCAACGCCAGAGACTTTTGACCCTGAAATAGCAAAATATATGATGCTCAATTAATTAACATATTCAGAGCAACTTAGAGTATCAATTGCTTATAAGTCCAGCATCATAAGAAAGAAAGAAGAAAAATAAATAAACCTTGACGCCCTCAATTATCAAAATCAGCCAATAGAAATTAATATCATGGAGAAACTAACACTGAAGACATTTGTACTAAATTTTATTGATGCATCAGACTCCATAATTGACAAGTAACCATATTAAAAATATGTAACAAACTTATCACCTTTTCCTTAGCCCACCCAAACGCAAAGATGTATATATCACGAAACTTTTCTGCACAGTTGAAAATAAGGATAGATTAAAACAGCAGAAAAAGAAATGACTATCTTTGAAAATTGCAAATGTAGAAATAAAAATAAGTGACATGGAAACAAAACAGGAAAAACCAGCCACGTACGATCATCTTTCAGCTCAGAACGAATGTATGGTATTTTTTCCCTAAACTTCTCCAAAGAGTCAATTCTGCTGCAAAAAAAACGTGAGCTTTGATTAGGTTTGAGAAGAAGATGATAATCAAACCAAAAGAATAACCAATACTTGCCCTAGTGATTGCAATCCACCAATAAACTCCTGCTTTGAATATTCACACATCGTTGCAGCCTTCATATGCCAGGAGATGACCAACTGAAGCAACCGAACAACAAAGATAATGGTCAAAAAGTCATTTACAGGATTGTAGCTATACAATAATCTAAAATCAAACAAATGCCCCAATAAATGAGGGTGTTACCCATTACACTTCCACTAACAAGTACCTATGTTATTTTTTAATTTCAACATTTGGAGTTTCACACTTGCTCATGCACAACTTTTATTATTTAATATCTCTTTAAGTAAAATATAAAAAGTTGATATTTTGAAAATAAGAATCAAGCCGAATCTAACAAGATCCAACATGACTATATCTTTTCTTGGGTATAAATTACAAATGACGGTTAAATTAGTGTTTGAATTGTAAAAATCCAAATGTTATAATTGGTGGAGGTAACGCATAAATTAAAACTATGCCTTTAGCTTCATATTCACACAACCGCCCCATACACAATTTCAATGAGAATTTACCAAAATCCACCATTTAGCAGAGGTTTATTAAAATCACCACCTTTTAAGAGGAATCTTTAATTACAAAATCACCCCTATGTGAAAATTAAAGAAAATATGAATACATATGGTTCTGTGGCTGTAACATAGGAGTTATATGTGGATTTCATCAAACTTCTTAGTTTGGGGTAAATTAAAGAGCATGTAGAGGTGATTTTCTGTTAATATTTTACTAATAATTGCCAAATACAATATGGAATTTAGAGGTCATACAGTCACCTAATAAACCCTTGGGCATTTTGTGCTTACAACATATCAAAGTATACCTATGGCAACTACTACTGAGCTGACTCTCCAACTCCACAATGATCTTTCAAAAGGTTCACAAAAAAATCCTAGAGCACAATTGCACAAATTCCTATTGGGCATTAAGTGTTAAAAGTGGCAAAATTTGTCATAGCAAAGCAACACAAAGCATAATGAAACTTAGCGATATAGATTAAGTCCCCCAAAAAAAAGAATTTCAAATTTAATGTTTGTTGGTAGTAGATAGCTTGCCGGAGGCCATATTCCTCATCTTATTCTTCCTTTAGTAGCAATCAAAGCCATTGTGAGAGTATATGCAATAATTTCAAGTGTTTCTTAGTTTCTTTATTGTTAGGGTTGCAAGCCCAACAAGAGGAAAAAGGTTCGTTGAAACATGTGGATGGTAAGTTGAGTTTAAGGAAAGATTTATTAGGGAATAAACTAAACTTGCCAAATACCAACGAGATATGTTTTGAGAAAAGATGTGATGTATCTTTTGTTTATTTCTATCTTTTATGCTTTCCTAATTAAATGAGGTTTGTAATTAGGAAACTAGATAAAATTATAGGTATATAATCAATCTAGGATTATTTAGGCTTAGGGAGCAAGTAAAATATCCTAACTGATGTGGATTTCTAGCTTAGCCTATATAAGAGGGTTTAGGCTTACTAGAAAATTAATGATGTTTCAATGATGGTTTTATTGAGGGGAAAATTTATCAAGAGGGTGAAAATAATGATGGTTTATTGAGGAGGAAAATCATCAAGAGGGTTATTTTCTCATTTTGTAGAAACAAATATAACAAAATTTTGTTTGAGGAAGGGAAATCTAAATTTCCTCATAAACACGGTCTCTTTTATTAACGTGTTTTGCTATTTATTTTACATTGTATACGAGGGTGAGTTGGGAAATCGTTCCATTGCACACATCCGTTATAACATTTAAATAGTTGCATTCATTTTCAATAATTTTGTTAAAAATTCCATGTCAATCACTCGGGTTATAGATAGCAATTTAATATACGTGCTTGATCAGCTACATAAATATACCACAAACACTATTAATATGTCATCATTAGCCTGAATCCTAGAAATGTGCTTTTATTACTAATAACTACACTTACATCAAACCAAAACTCTGATAATTCAGTTTGTTAACCTAACCATACTAGCATATTTCACCTCCGAACTGAATTTTTTTTAATTTCGCTCATACCAAGTAGCCTAAACAGAAACTTAATCAAACCCCAGCATCAGTTACAATGAATTGCGCCAGATTGAAATAACAATCAAATTAAACATATGAATGGTGCCAAAAGTCAAAATGGGCAAGGTATTATGGGATGAAAGGATTATATGTTAACCAAGGTCAAGTTTCAAAAAAAAAAAAAAAAACCACCACACCCCCCCCCCCCCAACCACACACACACACACAAATAAATAATTAAATAAATAAAACTTCGTAATAAAATAAAGTAATAAATAAATAAATAGCTAGCTCACCCTTTACATATGTTGGACAATCATATTTGCCCAAGTGTCCAACTCAACTATTTTGTAAAAAAAATTATAATTTTGGCTTAAAATAAAGTGTTAAAATGTCCATATTACATATACATGCCAGACAACATGAATTCTTAAAGTGAGATGAAGAGTCAAAGTAACATAACCCTTGAAATGCAAATTAGCTCTTTACAGAACATGTTGAGTTAGCATAGTACATGTCAAAGTGTTGGGGATCCAAAAGGCATGACAACAAGAGAAATCAATCTGTTAACTCAATGTTACCGCGCTTCATTACAAAGAAATAGTAACGCATAATAATTAAATGCTTGTTTGGTTGCACCAACTCCTTATAGGCACTCAAAATACCTAGGAAATACAATAGAGCTATGTTGTTTGGTTAACCCAAAAAGTGCAAAATGGAGGAATTGTAATTTCTTTAGTACTAACCAAACAAACTAAAGCAATTTCCTAGGAATTATATTAGGGAAATAATTTCCCATAAATTGTAAATTACCATGAGAAGTTGGTTTTCATAGCAAACAAACAAGACCTAAATGTTGTTTACTTAAACTTTGTAAGAACAGTCTAGTCTTATACAAGTGGTTACAGGGTCGAATTTTATAATGGTTGCTTGTTTCAACTAGTTCAAGTCTTATGCTGTTTTTAGATTCAAAATTTATCATAAATACTATCACACAGAATGACAACTCTAAGCAACATAAAACAAATTGCCAACTTAAATTAACTCTCTTATAATCAAAAACAAAGGTAAAATTGACACAACAGCTTCTTCCCGTATATATAAGAGTATTTTTTAATGCATTTCCCCAAAGAAAGAAGAACACACTGAGTACAGATTTAAGAGGTTACCATGACAATATCTTGAGGATCGACCTGCAACAATATAAAGTTCAATGAATCATTTGAGTGTAAAAAATGGAATTTAAAAAAAAAAAAAAAAAAAAAGAAGAAGTACAGCAGATATATGCAGACTTAGGCTTACTTGAGAAGCCTCCTTAAGGTGAGAAAACAGTCAAGATTATAAGATCTATCAAGCTTCTTGAAGCAATAAATAAAGCAAACACATGGCACTTGTAATCGACATTCAAAATTTCAAAGGCCAAATTTCCTCCCTAGTTCGATCTGAGCTTCTCTCTCTAGTTCACAGCTTTCTCCCTTTAGGTTAGAGGTTCATCTCTCTACATCATTCAGACTTTCCCTCAAATTGACACAATCAAAGGCTACAGAGCTCTTGACTTCGACTACCAAATATCAATGCAATATTTTAGATTAACTTGACGCATGTGAAGATTCGCCCAGCAGAGTTCATGACTTAGACTACAAATGCAACAGTTTAGAGTTCGCAAGCCCCTTGAGAAGTTAGCCCGCAAATTTGCACAAGAGGACAAAAAATCAAGTCTCTGCCGAACACCAAAACCTCAAAATAACTCGGGTTCACCCTACCGTCAGTTCGGGGCAGTTCTTCAACCATTAGACTGAGGGTGGTTTTGCCAAATAAAGAATGTTCAGCTGAACTTTCACATGGTTCAACCGAACCTACCCTGAAGTTCGCCCAAAAAGCTACCCTTTTTTCAAACAAATTTCTAACATGATTACTTAATTTTTCGGGGTACTATTTGCACCTCATGAGCTCTCTTGTAATAAAGACATTTTTTCATTAGATTAATTTTGAGTACTTATAAATTAGAGAGAAATGCTTAATTAGGCTACTTTTGGATATTTATTTTCAATCTTTTGAAAATTTGAAGAAGCATTTCAGTAACTTTCTTTAACCTTTCTCTTACTTTTCTTTGATACTTGCTCTACTTCATCAATCTTATGCTTAATCTTCTATCTTTCTAGTTTAATATTAGGTTACTATCTTACTTAACTTGCTTGTTACTTAATGTCTTTTGCTCTTACTTAGAATTTTTTTAGATATGTCATCAAGTTAGCTTGATATTGCTAAGCTTGGAAAATTCATTGATATAGAACCTTGTATAAGCATGAATACTACTAAAGAATTTCTTATGTGTTGATTAGGGATATGCATAGTGAGTACTTCAGTATGGTAATGGATTAACTTGATGCATGTGGGATTTAGGGTTTTGCTTGCTAAACTTGATTATATGTGCTTGAATTTCCTTCCAATTATTAGCATTCAAATTGATCATTGAGTGTAGTTTGATTTCTTGGAGTAGTTTTGGACTATTGACTTAGGTTGAAATGAGATTGTGGCCTTGGTTGAGCTATTAACTAATTTAAGACTTTGAATTATCCCTAGTATATTTGGATAGAATGATAAATCTTGTTTAATGCTTAGGGAAGTTGCTCTGTTGGAGCTATATCGAGAGTCAAGGCAATGGTTAAGTAGTGCTTAAGTTTGTTTGCACCCATATGATCCATGCTTAATTAGGTTGACCTTGGCTTCCAATTTAAGCCCCTAGTATTTAATTTCTTGGTTTCCATCTGTCTTAGCTTTGGCCTTTGCCTATTAATCTAGTCTAGCTGTCTTAGGTTGATCAAACAACCTCTACCATAGTATTGAACTAGCAGTGTCATTCTTTTGCAGTCTTCGTGGATATCGACCCAACTTATTACTATATTCACTATATGAATTATTTAGATTTTTTTTATAAAGGATTAGGAGCAACACTAATTTCCCTCATCAATATTCAAATTTTGATCATAATTGTGCCTCTAATATAGTGAAGGTACTATCTTATCTCTATAACACTATTGACCACATCTATATTATGAATCTGTAATTTTAAGGGAAATAATTCTACAGTTTTCATATTGTTGATGTAGCTTAGTTTTTTTCATATTGTTGGGCAATTTTCCATCTCATTGTTCATGTGGTTTTTTTTACGGCTGAAAGATTCCGACCATCATTTCCAACTTGACTTTGACAGTAGTTGCTGGCAAATTGAGTGGGGAGTGGGATGTTGTTTGTAGCTGAGGTTGATAAATTGAGATACTTGTAGAATGTATTCAAAATGTAAATTTGATGTCCCTATAGATGTAACTTGATGCATTTGAGCATCTCACCCAAGCATGTCTCACTAGATCCCAACTTCAAACACACTAACCTTATCACTTCATCTCTCTTACATTATCCACTTCTTTCTTACACCCACTCACTCATCTTTTTCAAATTCTCCTAAAAAAAAAGTCAACCAGAGCAAAAAAGAGGGAGTCTATATAAGTTTTTGGTAAAGCATTGTTTTAACCTAGCTTTATGCAAAAATAAAGTGGTATTTGCAAATACTAAAAAAAATATATTATTCCTTTTATCCTAAACCACCCACTAATATATTGAGCATTAATTCTTAAAACAACTATATTGAATGCCAACCTCTAGCAGTTTTGCCTAACAATCACCAGCTAAAATAAAGGTTAACAATTTGTTTTGCTGAATAAAGCCAAAGACAATCCACTGAATAGAGAAATAACCCGTTAACTGTAAACAGACCTGAAGATCAGTGCAGAGGCTTGATATACCATCAGCCATAATCATGTCATAATCCGGATCTGCATTGCAAGTCAGGAAAAGTTACAAGGAAAAACATAACAGGTACATTGTACAAAAGACAGCCACGGACAGTAAAAAGCAATTCATCAATGAGTTGGCATGTAATGAAGATTGAAAGGGGTGTTAAAGCTTAAAAAAAATTAAAAATTAAATAAATGAAAAAAAACATAGGAACTGATGACAAGTGAAGAAATAGGACATAATATATTTAAAAAAGAAATCTATAAGCATGGCATGCCTCTATATCGGTTAAAAAGCTCCTCCAAATGCCTAGAATCAGTAAATGGCTTAATCTGAGGCTGACTGTAGTAAATATCAAGTGCTCCTTCTAGATGCCCGTCACCAGCCTTCAGTGCCTGATGAGCAACTTTCTCACTACATAACAAAGAATCATATATTATGTCAGTGTAGCAACTACCATTTTTACCAAACCTATTGAAGAGAATAGGGAAGGAAACACAACTAAGCATATCACATCACATTATTGAACAACTACTTCTGTCTATATAAGACAATATAATTTCCAATGATCTCTTCTGTAGATAACTGAAAACTAGCAAGAACAGTAAGCACCATAATATACTTTGTATTACATTATATTATATTATTATTATTACCCGAACACCTTAAGGTGCAGTGTAGATATACAAGAATCTTATTTCTAGCTTGTTCCTTGTCCCCTCTCTAGGCTCTGTTTACTAAATTACTGATGGGATTATAAGTTTTGTTTGATTTTTTATAGGTTTATTCATTACTAATAACAAGCAATTACTATGATCTGTATAAAAATTATTTTGCGATGGGCTCCTCTACATTAAGACCATTTTGACATTTCCAGACTTCAGTTCTCTGACCCTGCGTGCATTAGATAATAGGGCCACCAGGTCCACCACATGAGTGTTAGATCAATCTTGGTGTACACAGTATATGGGATCTAAGAACATAGAGCGTATTTTATATGTGGATATAAAAATAATTAATAAATACTTCCTCCGTTCTTTTTTACTTGACGCGCTTTGACTTATACACTATTCACCACCCCTCCTTTGACCGTTTTTTGTGAATTATATGCAAGTAAAAACATATTCATGTTGGATCTTGTTAGATTCGTCCCAATAAGTGCTATCATAATATATAACTTCTATAATTTTTACTTATGAGGAATTATAGTTATAGATTGTTAAGTTTCTGCATTGGCAAGTGTGATAAATGAAACAGATCAAGTAAAAAAGAACACATGAAGTAGTAAACTCATAAAAATTAACATTACTAGTATACTTCAGCCTTCCCTTTCATAAGAGCAAATGAGTCATTTTGACCTATCCATCCCCGTTGTGTTCCCCCCCCCCCCCCGCGGTATATTTCGTGGCCAATAGAAGCCAAATTAAAAAAAAATTAAAATAAAAAAAAATAAAAAAAAAACTATAAGCTTATTTTAACATTTTATACCCCCATCCCCACAAACGAACTTGGGTTTTGAAGATTTAGGATTACAACTCCCAATCTCGTAAAGCACCTACCCCCCCCCCCCCCACCTCTCACATCTCCAGTAGTTCAAGTTTTGAACCACATGAAACAAGACAAGACTGCTGCTAATTCTTCAGATTTTTTTGATACCCATATGAACATGTACCAGACTGATTCCTCACTTTTCCTTTTAAAATTGGAAAGCCAAAAGGAGCCAAAAACGAAAACACTTAATGACCCAGCCACACATACATCCACCCCCTCAATTCAATTTTAAAAATAGGAAGTTAATGAAGCAGAGAATAATTAAAGGGTAAGGCAGACATTTTTTCTTGAAACATGAAGGACTCTGAAAGTTAGAATTGCATGATCATTCATAATAATATCCAAAGCTTGATATTCTTGGGACCCTTAACATTAATGATTTTCAAACAAGGAGCACATAACTACATAAGAGTATAAGACAACTTATATACTTGCAAGCAACATATGTGCAATATGAGAACATTCAAAATACATCCTACTAAGCCCCCCAGCCCCAAAAGACCTAGATAAGAAAAGACATTAAAACTTCATTCTACTGCACTCTTTCGTGTTCTAGGATTTCTCAGTCAATTCCACAATCTAGTAAGGTAAAGGAAAGTCTCTTTCCTTTGTCTCTTCAAATAAGTTCAAGATTCAGAAGGATATTTAAGATACCTACCTCCTACAAATGAATTGAATGTTTACCATACTCCTAGAATAATGCATTTCAACTATGGCTTATTAATGAAGGATATAAAAACTGCTACAGAAGCCAAAAAAAAAAAAAAAAAAAAAAAAAAAAAAAAAAAAAATAGAAAAAAAGAAAAAAAAGGATTATGATACTAAGTTTTGGATAATGGACTCTTGTTAGATATAGGTGAGCAATAAGCATCATTATATATTTGTCCTCCTAAGTCAAAGCTTTAATTGCTACTCAATCTAATATCACAGACGCTGATGACCTATGCACAACACACTTCACAAAAAATAAAAATAAAAATAAAATTAATTTGAACTCAATTGCCGAGCTCCAGATTTTGCCAGCATATTTCCAACTATTCATATCATCTCCACGCAAGATGAAAGATCATCGCAATAATCCATATTTATTAATAATTTACATAGCATACATCCATGTTCAGCAGATTCTAATGGTGTGAGGTTTCCTTAATGCAAACTATAATTCACATCTAATTTGTAGCAAACTAGGCAGGATAAAGTAATTCCCAAAATAATGTAAGCACCCATTTTATCAAGGATTTATTTCAGAAACATTCTAATCAAAATTGCAAGCTTGAGAAGTTGAGAGTAAGGGAATTTTCAAATCTAAACTAAACAAGCTAATAGAGCCTTTTGTTCGAATGTGCAAGTAGCGCTGCTTACATGGAATTGCACATTTGAGTATTTGACCCCCCAAAATCCTATCTCGAGTGAGAGCTTAGTTAAAAGCATTGGTGGAGTAATCATTTACAGTTTCACAAAGAGAATTACACATATGTAAAAAGAAAAAACAAAAAGAAAAAAAAAAGGAGAATTACAAGATCAACAATTATTCTTGATAATATATTTAAACATTATAACTAAACAGACATTAAAACATCAATTCTCTCCTACAACATGTATTTGGAAAGGCGAATTTACAATAACCTATTACAAGCCATTACAAGTTAACCCAAAAAATGGCACGGGATCACACCCCACCCCACTACCCCTTCCCCCCCCCCCCCCCCCGAAATCAGAAAACCCAGCTCGGCTTCACAAGGTTTTGCCATCACCTAAACCCTAAATTATTCACTAACTTGTAAATCATCTGTAAAAAGCACATACGCTAAGCATACTGATGCTAACACTTAAACATTACCTAACACCGGTAATTGCCATAAACTGCTGGAGTTTCTCACGATGTCCTCTTCCTAGTTTGTTCTGCCAACCACAAAATTCCAGGTAATTTGTATCAGATGAAGCAATATTTCAATTAAAAAAAATAACATTTTTATCAAATCAATTAGCATAATCTAATAATACCCAACTAAAGAAAATATGGTAATCCCCTAAAATTGAAGCTACCCATTTCAAACGGTAATCCTCCAAAAAAAAATAAGTAATACCCATTTAACACAATACAAACCCAATTCATAATCTAATATATTTAGCTAACAAATTTACGAAAAATAAAAAAAATAAAAAAAAATTAGGAAAAAAGACTTCAAAAATCGAAACTTTAGTCTAGTTTTGCAACTTAGATCATCAACTAAAAATGGAATTTTTAAACTGGAAAAGATCTAGTTTAAGAAGAAGCACTGACCATGTTTGAGATGAATGAAAAAGCCCTAATTCTGGAAGATGAGTGCTATCTCAAGCAGGGAGAAGAGAAGTGGCAGAGTGAGAGAAGACGAAAGTGGGAGCTTGAAAAGCTATCTGACGTCTCTCAAACGCTCTTCTCTCTCTGCTAGGCTTGCTTGATTTTTATTTTAAGAACATTAGAGTAAAAGACTATGACACTTCTAATAACAAGCCTTTCAAGGGTAAGGTCATTTAAACGCGGAAGGCTGAGCGATATTCAACACTTGTTAATCAATCTCGTCCACATTATTTGTTTTTGTGCTTGTTTTGCAGTTTGCGCTTCAAATAAATAACTAAATTACTAAACAATGTGAAAGGAGAGGTTATGGGATTGTTTGGCAATCAACGGTTGACTATTGGTTGTTGGCTTGTTTGCTTGGTTTGTTTGATTGGCTGGAAATATTAGCTGTATAAATTGGCTTTTTAAGTTAGTTGTTTAAGTCGGCTGTTTACAAAAGTGTTTGGTAAAATTATTTATGATTGTTAGCTGTTTATTAGTGATAAAGTGGGACCAACAAACCAAAAGCCAATAGAAAAAGCTATTCCTATTAGCTTTTGGCTTTTGGCGGAAAAGCTAGCTTAAAAGCCAACAAAAAAGTCAACTACCAAACAAATTTTTTGGCTGTTTGACCAAACTACTAAACCAAAAGCCAAAAGATAGGCAAAAATCCAATAGCCAAACACCCCCTATACCCCATTTGATTTGATATAAAATGTTTTCATGGAAAATGATTTACCTTTTATACTCATATTCTTTTGTTTGGTTTGTGATGGGGTGGAAAACAATTTTTCTAAAGGTAGAAATCTAGGTCCTTAATGGTGAAAAATATTTACCTTTATAAAACAAAAGAAACCACTTTTCCTCGAGGCCTTCCAAATGGCTATCAGATATTTATTCGCACATGCATACCAGGGCAAACTCTTTCGCGCTGAGTTTTGAAGAAGAAAAAAATCAAAAGAAGTTAGGTGGATTGTCCGTTTCGAGGCTACAGTGTCCCATTAAGCTTTTATGATGCTTTTCCCATTTTTTTTTTTAACTATTGTACTTAGAAAGTGTTCCTTTTCTTATTGTTTTTTTAAGGCGTACTTTTGAAGACTGTGTTTCTAGGTTTCTTAATTTTTTTATTTTTATCTCTTTTCTTCATTACCGACTTTGAAGGAGAAGAAGGTTTCAGGCTTGTTTGAGTTGTGAACAAGAATGATCGAGCTTTCATGTTAGTTTATGAGCTTCTTTTAAGTCCATAGGGTACCTTGATTGGGGGTTTTACGAGTGAAATTGGAAATCTTTGTCTTCTTGTTTGCTTGGTACTATAATAGTAAATTTGGTTTAAAATATTAAATTGCTTAGGAATTTTAGGATGCAGGTGTGTTCGTTATGGTGCTTTGTGTATCTTAGGGTATGTGATGAAAATACTGGTTGTTTCTTCTTAGAATGTTGAATTCTTGTTGATTAGTTGTAGATTTGATGTATATGTGTATTGTTGTTGGTGTGTGGGAATTGGTTAAGTGGAAAGTTTATTAACAGCCCTTAAATTGAGGAATTTGGTTCGAATTAATTTGTTAAACCTAGATAAAAAGAATGGTAATTTATAAAAGTCCAAAAAAATATATTTTTAATAGTGCTTTCTATTAACTTGATGATTATTTACGATTGATGCAGACTTGTAGTAAAGGCTTTAAAGTAGATTAATTTATAATAAATCTTATAAAATAAATGGAGTATACATTAATTTAATCGAATTCATGTGTAGTTATCTAGTATGTTATGTTATGATTAATATTACAAAATTAATGGAATGGTAAATCAAAAGCATGTAATGGCAATGTTGAATTGTTTATATGGTGGAAAAATTTGTGTAGAATGGACTCACCGTGAGTCCGGACTTGAGAACGCAAAAAATGATCATCCAAATGTTGCTGCTTCTTCATCCTCAATCTTTAGGCCAATTCACGGTTCAAAAGCATCCATTTTCGCTGCTTCTTCATATATATATTCAATTGATTTTGTTTCATTTCAATCGATTTTACTGTAAAATCAGCATAATCGATAATTTCTTAATTTGACAATCATACATGGTTAATCTGCTATTAATCATTCAATGAATTTGGTTCTACTGGCTTTTCACTTCAATTGAATCAAGTTTTACCAAAATTAGTGATTCTAGGGTTTGTTCCAACAAATTTCTGGAAAATTGAAATTAATATAGGTATTGGAGTTGGCTGAAAATGCAGCAAGAGACAACAAGAAATCTCGAATAGTATCGCGTCATATTCAACTAGCAATGAGGAATGATGAAGAGTTGAGCAAGCAAACAATTGCAGAGATATTTTATCAATGATTTTTTTAGTACTGATTTTTAATTATAATTATTGTAAAATTTATATTATATAGTAATAAATGTTACGATAATTATTTCCTATTTTCAAATAATAAAAAAAAAAACATAAAAAAAAAAATTGATTTTGGAGAATTTCATAAGCTAGTTTTACTGAATGAGAATTTGCAACAAACTCATATTTAATTTTGAATGAACCTTATCTTGTGAATTTTCTAAAGCTATCAAAACCAAGGAAACGCAATTATATACACTCTTCTGATTATAAAGTTGTCGTGCATTATTAACTCTCAAAGAACTCATCCTTAAGTTGCTGATTCTTGCGCCATCATTAACCATAGCCTTTAGCTTCAATTGCTCCTTGTAAACTCATCACCACTACCAATATCTATCCTTCCTTCTTTAAATAATCTACAATACAAAATTCAGCCTACTAGTTGTACAATTAATTATATACTATGTTTATCATCAGACCACCATCACTCGATCTTGATAGTATCTGTCCTGTATCGTCAACGAACGCAATCACCATGATCCCTCTCCTTTGTTTTTATCCTTAAGTACAATTAAAGAGTGGATATTTATAATTTTCCATATCTTGCATCATCTTCATAACCTCTCTCTATTATGGATATTTTGAGAAACTCCATTATTATTTTCTTCTTCAAATCAATACACACAACAGATTATTTTTTAAAAGAACTTTGACTAGTATTATTTCTTTTCCTCAACACTAGTTTCCGATGACAGTGAATGTTACAGGAATGTTTTCTTTTTTTGTTTTTTGAGAAAAAAAAAAGAGGGAAATTTGTTTTTAAAAAATTCTCTTACAATACAAGAATTGATTTACGAAAGGAACTACCAAATACTATACTTTTATTAAATAAATTTTATTATTGTTTTACTATTTTATGAGCAAGTAATGGTCTACACTTTGGAATTTAATTAAGGCTACCATTAGACTAAGTTCGTGTCCCTATTTCTACTAAACATACGACAACACACTAAGTTAGTCTTATTTATTGATTTATTTGTAGACAGAAGCTACTAGGTGAACTCTCGTAGGTTATTTACTTTGAGGCTTGCGCAACTTAAAGTAATTTATAATGTCCATCATCTTTAGAATCCCGTTAGGAAATTATTTCGATCTATTGTGTGCCAACTATGTGTTTATATGTGATGAGTGTATTACCGTATGATATTATGGAATCATATTTTTGATACTTTTTATATTTTGTTTACTAGTATAAGTATTTTCGGGAATTTTGATTAATTGGTATCATATGAGTTTTTAGAAAAATTAAAATCTTGGAAATTAGATGATTGATTATATGTATTGGATGATCTACAAGGCCTATTGGACAGGAATAATAATAATGTCTCATAAAGTGACTTTGTCCTAATATAATGAAATTGGAGTATTGTTATTGGGTTTAATTGACCTTGTGAAATAGTTGTGAACAATGTGATGGGACAACTTAAATTTACTAAAACGTACATTGAAATTAAGAAGAGAAATAAAACCCGGAAGGGTGAAGAACAGGTTGCCCCACTAGTAGTTATGATTGCTACTAGTTGGTTTGAATAATTAAAGTATATTGCTGTTTAGTCTTCCTCCTAGCTAATCAAAGGGTATTAGTGAGGGGTGTGCATACTAGGGGCATTCTGTTTTATTTTCATGTCCATTAGGGGTTACGCGCGACCCTTTGTAAAGTAGGTGGTGACAAGGACTAATTCGGCTTACTGGCGTTCTCTTTCCCTTTCTAACATCCCTACCTTTTAAAAAGTATGAGAGAAATCTTATGAATAGTATGTGGACTTTTATACCTCTAAAAATGTTTGTTTACATATTTGCCCTAATCTATAAGTTTAATAAGCTTTTTTTTTTCTTACCAAGCTCTTTTTTTCCTTATTAATACATTTCCCTAATAAGTACTCCTAGGTAGTAATAAACCCGTCTTCCAAAAAAAAAATAAAAAAAAAAAATAAAATAAAATAGTAAAGTAGTATATCAAACATCTACATTTCTAGATTTTGATAACTTTTGTCACTTCCTCACTAAATTGAAATTAACTCTACTAACGTGTTGAAAAATATTGCACTGTATGTTATACAACATCTAACACATTCATTGTTTATATGCAAATAGTTATAATAAAATACAATGCAAATACATTAGGGCCAACTATAAAAACTCTTTTCAAAGACTAGCCATAGCGCGCGAGTCGGAATCCCTAGTTAAATAATAAATTGCTATGTGACAATTTGATAATGGTTTAATATTATAATGTCTATGATCTGTATTATGTACAAATTGTTTTCGAACTAAATTTTTTTATTTTACGCGATGGAGTTGGAATATTACTCCGTTTATCTAATTTTGGGAGTTTGTTTCTCTTTTCTTATTTATTTTGCTAGTTGGTAAGAGGGTACTCGGTTACGTGTGGGGAGACGTTAGAATAATCATGTAGCCATAACGTACAATTTACTTACTTTTGAGCTTATTTCTTTTTCTTGCAATTACTCTATTTTAAAATAATTTACAGTTTGGATGTAATGACTATTATACTTTTGCCACCACTGAAACCACTTAGCTTATTATTTTATTTTATTTTTATTTTGTTTTCTTTGCATTTATTTTCTAATGAAAATAAGTTTTGCAGTAAGACTCCCAAGGTTCGATGATTGAGTTTTGAAAGTTAGAAAGGTTACTCTTGTTATTTTAAAAGACTCGAATTTTGGGGGTGTTACATATTAGATTATTAATGTCATATATATTGGATTCACGGTGAGTCTGGTGTCACGCAAAAGTTTCTCTTATATGTTAAAGGA